CCAAAGGACAGCAACTTGTCTGTTTCCCTTCCCCGATTCCCCAATGAAATCTTTAAAAAAAACCTCTTCTTGGGCAGGCCAAGTGGCTCAGTTGGTTAAGAATTAGCTTAAGAGTGCAAGCTCTGAGCAACAGGGCCGCCGGTTTGATTCCCACATGGGCCAGTGATGGTGTGCCCAAGCTGAGCTGCTGCTGAGCTGCCAACAGGTGGCAGGATGGCTCAGCTGGTGAGACCACGTGCTCCTAACAAGACTGCCTGTTCAATGGTGGGCTATGCCCACCAGCAACTAAGACTGAACTCAGCACCTTGAGTTGAGCTGCCATCTGGATGGCTCAGTGGATAGTGTGTGCTCTTAACAACAAGGCTGCTGGTTCAAAGCCTGCATGGGATGGTGGCTACACCACCCACAACTAAGATTGAACACAGCACCTTGAGCTTGAGGCCACGAGCTGCCAACAGGCAGCCAGATGGCGACTGGCACCCTCCACAACTAAGATTGAAGAACAACTTGGCTGGTCCCCCTTCCCAATTCCCCAACATTCTTCCCCTGCCCCAGATCCCCAATTAAAATAATAATAATAAAATAATAAAATAATAAATCTTCTTATAATGAATGTTAACTAGACTTGTGATTATTTCACAATATACACATATTTCAAACCATTATTTCAAACCTGAAACTAATATGTTATATGTCAATTATAGCTCAATTTTAAAAATACAACTTTTTCTCATCTACTATTTGGTTACCTGGAACATAACCCATTAAGGAAAAACTGGAAAATGTTTGATTATTTCCCTTTATTTATCAATGTTCAGAGTAATTAGTCGATTCCCTACAACTCCAATGATAACAAGTGTTTTCCTTAAGTATCATATTAATTAATGGGTTTTTATATATTTTGTGTTGTAATCTATTGAAGTCATTTTTCTCTTAATGCTCAAATTGTTCCATCTTTGGTCAGTGGGGTCCCTTTGTATTGGTTCCTCAGCCATTGTTACATGGTTCCAATAGTGTGACAGCTTCCTGGCTTCCCGGCACAAGATGACCCAAGTTCATCTTTCCTGTTCCAGATCCAGAACCAGCCATTTATCAAAATATCCTTGATTTTCTTTGTTTTATTTTTAATTTTTTTAAACTGGAAAATGTTATTTAGAGAACAAAACTGTGCACTAGGGGTGTTCGTTACTACCAGGTTGGTCATTGTTTCTAGGCAGAGCCAGAAAATACATTAAGAGAAAAATACATACTGCATTCCACTAACTCAGAGCTTAAGATTATCCTAAACATCATTAATACTTGTAACTTTTTCTCATACATTGAAAATCTTGATTCCTAATGCCATTACATGATTATTTGCTTTATCCTAAAATATACCTATCAGTTTCAAAACAGCAATATCAATATTACTAACAAGACCAATGAATGCAATTTAATTACTTCTATGCAGTTCTAGCTATCCTTAGGCTATATCCCATTAGGGAGGTACAGTCAAATACTTATAAAGCCACTTGAAATTATTTTCTCTGTGTAGTTATGCCACCAATCTTACATACAGATGGCTCATTTGTTTTTAATTTTTATGGAGTATTTTACTCTGTTTATTGAACTTTGTCTTATAAATATGCAAAATATTTGCAAGGCTCCAAAATACTAACTATATAATAAGGTGCATTCACAGAAGTCTCATTTCCATCCCCAACCCCTTCAACCCACATAGTAAACCATTTTTAAATGACTGGGATTTATTCTTCCATTGTTTAACTTTTAAATATAAGCAATTAATGTATATGTATACCTCCCAACTACTTACTTATACAGAAGATAGCATAGTATAAACACTATTATGCACCTTGCTTACTTCACTTAACAATATATATGGACATCGCTCCATATTAGGTTTATTAGTATATATAAAAAAACTTCTACATATCTTTTTACAGTTGCATAGCACTCCATCCTGTGTTTGTACTATAATTTATTTAGCCAGTTCTTTACTGATGTGTGAACAGTTTCCAATCTTTTGCTATAAAAATGCCATAATGAATAGCCTTGTACATACAGCTTTTTGTATTTTTGCCAATATATCACCAGGCTAGATTCCTGGATTTGACCTAGGCTTACTCAGAGAGATAGTGAGAACATATGTAATGTAGCTATATATTGCCAAATGTCCTTAATTAGTTACATCATTTTGCCTTCCCACCAGCAATGCATTACTACACCTAAGAATGCTATCCTCAGGTGTATTTTAGTACCATAAGAGGAGGCTGCAGAAATGAATCACAGACAAGGTTCCTGTCTCAAGAATTCCAGGAACTCTCAGTCTAGTAGGAGAAGGCTTGCAGGCAAACAAATAATGATATAATGTAGTAAGTAGGGATAGGATCAGCCTAGAGAAAATGAAACTTACGATTCAGTCCCTCACTTATAGAGAAAGACACTTTCCAAGGCCCCAGCAATATGTTCACAGGAACATTTTGTAATCTCTTTACTAAAGAGGACACCCCAAACTGTTTAAGCTTCAAGCTCTACAAGACCTGAATCCACCTCACAGACTTGAGTCAGCCTGTCTTCTAGGGTTAGGGAGGTGGATTTCATGTGTCAGTTCTGCAGCCATCTTGAAAGGAGGGACTCCTATATTTAATGACTGAGACAAATAAAAAGAAAAGCCTCCTCTGATCCAAAGAGATACCCATCTCCAGATTCTGATCAATTATCCATACAGGTAGTTAGCTGTCTCCAGAGACTTCCATATTTCCCCTCTACTTTCAAGAAGAGAAACCAAGTCCTGGCTCACCTAGCATTCCTAGTAGAAAGGTGAAGAGTGGTACATGGCACTCAGGACAAATGTCTGGACAGATTACAGAGCAGGTGGTTTTTTTTGGGGGGGGGGGAGCGCGGCAGGTGCTGTTACATCAGGGAATGGGTATTCAAGGCAGGCGCCCCGCCCAAAACATACCTTTTGGTTAAATAAGTCAGAGGTCTGTTTCCTCAAAAATAGTGTTAATAATAAAGCCTGCCCTTGTGGGGTTTGGTTAGGATTAGGCGAGATAATTTATATAAAGACCTAACCCAGTTCCAGACGCTAGAGAAAAGGTCGATAAATGGAGGAGAGAAAATAAAATGGGTAATTAATTGGTTGATCCCTGAAAGCAGTGACAAGAATTCTTTGCACATCGTGCCTTATACAGCACTGGGAGGAGGAACAACCACCTTATTGACAAATAATGGGTGCAGAATAAATAGGTGAACAAGGAATGGACGTTTCTGGCGGATGCTCTGGGTTAACTAACTGAATAACCACTTAGTCCTGCTGTTGAGTAACTGACAGTCCCAGGCTAGCTGTCAGGGGAATGCATGCTGGGATCTGACGGCAGTCGGGTGGTTCAATGACTCGGGCTGACGGTCCGGCCCCGAAAGAACGGCTGTGTTCGTTGTCAATCCGGGACAGATCGGCTAGGACCGCCGCCTGTCGCCGCACGCCAGCTAGATCCCGACTCTACACGAGCCCGCGGGTGCTGCCACCGGGCAGGACGTGCACCGCGGGCAGCAGTCAGGTGCGGGCGCCGCCGTCTCTTCATCTCCGCGCGGGGAAGGGCGCCCCCGACCCTCGGCTGCCGCGGCCTGGGAACAATGAGGCGCCGGCTTCTTTAAGGGAGGTACCACCGCGCCGGCGGAGCAGGGGACGGCGTCTTCCCAGATGATCGCACCCAGCCCCGCGCCGCCGCCGCCTCGGCAACTGCACCGCCCGCAAAAATGGCTCAGTAACTCTAACAAAAGGTGCAGCCTCCCTCCCGGCGTGGCGGACGCCAGGCCTCCCAGCTCGGGCCGCACCTCCTCGCAGGCCCGCCGAAGAGCTCTGCGTCCCGCACGCACCCCAGGCCCGCGCGGAGGAAGATGCACCAGGCGTCCCACCCCAGAGACCCCTGCACACCCGCCCGCAGCTCGGTAGGTATGCAGCGGGGCGAAGGGCAGGGGCGGCCGCGCCGGACGCGCGCATCTCCTAGGCCGGACCTGCTGCCGCAGATCAGCCCCGAGGCCGCGGGCCGTGATAGCCCGCTGCGGTGGGACCAAGACCAAGCCCTGGGAGTGGAGTGGCCTCCCTGAATCCGGGCCTGGCCACCCCTGCGAGGAGGGACACGAGTGGTGCGTGCCAGAGCGCGCACACCTTCCGCGACTCCCGGCTCCTGGAAGCCAGAGGAGCAGGGAGGTGGCCACCAGAACGCCAGGCGCGCGCCCAATAGGGACGGCGCTGGGCGTCCCGGCCCGCGCTACGGAAAGCCGGAGGGGGGCGGGGCCGCGAGGCGTAAGGGGGTGTGTCCGCGCACCACGGGGGCGCGCGCCGGCCTCTGACTGGAGGCCGCGGCGGCGGAGGCGCGAGCTGCCCGATAATGGCGGCCTGCAGAGCCCGTGAGAGGGAGAAGCGGCGGCGGCTACCCTGAGGTAAATCCGGCGCTTCCGCCTGGCAGAGAGGCCCTGCTGCAGAGCCGAGGGCCCTGCATGTGCCTCCCTCACTAGGAGGCCTGTCACAGACCTGTCAGCGGAGTCATCCTGGGAAAGGCCCTGTTCTCTTCAGGCCTCCGGCCCGCACCCCTCAGGCCACCGACCCCAACTGCGGCCTGCTCTTAAGCTTATGGCCTCCTCCCCAGGCCCCAGGCTTCAGCCGCCAGCCCCCAGGAGTTGAGGCAGCCGCAGGCCTGGCCCCTGGGGGTGAAGGGCCGCTGGAGAATCCCCTCCGGGTTTCGTCTGGACACAGCTGAGGAGGGGGAGGGTCTGATACTTGGCCAATGAGCGGGGCCCTGAGCCGCTGCGTCGGGCAACACCTCTGCCCAGGACTGGCCCTTCCCGGGCACCAGCAGGTGTATGGCCTGGCCGCCCCGCGGCCGCTGGACTAGCGCAACGGGCGTGAAGGCCCGGGAAATGCCGACCTAAGTCACGGAGGTTCGCACGAGATGCATCACCGTGCTGTGTTTTGATCCCGGATCCCAAGGATTTCATAAACACCTTCCCTCCCCCTTATTCAGGCGCTCTTTCGTTTGGGGGGTATGGGACAGCTTCAAAGACACGAGGCACTTCGAGATGGACAGTAATTGGCGATACACGGAGATCAGGAAAGACAGCCTACTGTGTAGGAGGGGCAGAGGCTTCTGGGCCAGGAAATCAGACACTACACTAGGAAATGCAGTAGGAATTGAGAGGTGGTGTTGTCCAGTCTGCGGAAGCAGTGCTAAGAAGTGATCTCAGAAGCTTTCATTTTCTCTATTAAATCAGTCCTATGAACTTAAGGTAGTTGTTCCCAATTTTTCAGGCTCAAGGGTCAGTAGCTTTCTGTTCCTCTGAACTGTTCCCCCAAAGAGAGCCCCTTGATCTATAGGACAGTTTTTGTTGACAAAAATGACCTAGATCTACAGTAAATAGCTATTGTTAAACAACAGAGAGGTAGAATGTGGCTACATTCTAAGTAGCCTACTTGATTTTCACAGGAACATTTTTCTCCACAAAGTTATTTTCATTTAGTTTGCAAGAGGTAAGGAAGTAACAAAATAGGAACATACGCATTTTGACTGTTTACTTTTTTTTTTAAAGATTTTATTGGGGGATTGGGGGAGGGGAACAGACAAGTTGCTGTCCTTTTTGTTCTTCAGTCTAGTTGTGGAGGACGTCGCTTCACTGGCCCATGTTGGTATCATCATTGCGCTCTTCCCGGGTGAGGCAGATCAGTCGCCGGTCTCTGGACAGCCGCTCACAGAGGCTCTTGGCAGCTCACATTGGCTGCCAGCCACACACGGTAGCTCGTGGCAGCCCACTGCAGCCTACGCAGTAGCGGGGACTTGGCAATCCAGCTCCAGGTGGAGCTGTTGTTCACCATCTTAGCTGTAGAGGGCAGTGTCACTGGCCCTCATGTGGGATCTGAACCGGGGTCCTGCTGCTCAGAGCTGGCTTCCCAAGCCGGCTCTTAACCAATGCGCCACTTGGCCAGCCCTTGACTGTTCACTTTTAAATATTAAAAACAACTACACATTTTCAGTTCTATATGTGATCTGGTTCACTTTCAGCCCCTAAGTACAAGCAAGGTGTTTGTATTTCTAACTGTGATGGGTTTTTGTTCTTGCTGTTTTATGACCTCTTATGTGTGTGTCAGCTTTAAAGAGAAGCTGGAATTTTGTTTGATTTGTGACCAGTAAATAGAATGCTGAATTTTTTAGTGTATTTTTAACCATGACATTTTAAAGCAGTTTGTATAAGAGGCAGTATAGTGTAGTGGTTAAAATTATGGATGTCAGAGACAGATAGCCTGGTTTTAAATCCCAGCTCCACCAGATACTAGCCATTTGACCTTGGGCATGTTGTTAAACTCTTCATACTTTAGTTCCCTCATCTACAAAATAACCATAATAGTATCTACTTCATAACCTTGTTATGAGGAATAAATGGATTTAATATTATAAAGTGCTTGCAACAGTTCCTGATACATGGTAAGTACTACATAAGTGTTAACTGCTTTACTGTTACTATTAAAATATTTAGGTTTGCCCAAGGTATAGTAAAAAGCACTACGAACAGTGAGACAGATGATATCTAAATCATACGTAAGAAGAAATGCAAGCCAGTAGGCATGCTTAATTTCAACAAAGCACTTTATTGATTTTTCCAGAAACCTTGACTTTGAAGATGGTGAGTAGCCAGCCAAAGTACGATCTAATACGGGAGGTAGGCCGAGGTAGTTACGGTGTTGTGTATGAAGCAGTCATCAGAAAGACCTCTGCACGGGTGGCAGTGAAGAAAATTCGATGTCATGCACCTGAGAATGTTGAACTAGCCCTGCGTGAGTTCTGGGCACTAAGCAGTATCAAGAGCCAACATCCCAATGTGATTCACTTGGAGGAGTGCATCCTACAAAAAGATGGGTTGGTGCAAAAGATGTCCCACGGCTCTAATTCTTCCCTTTATTTACAGGTATGTGTGGTTGAATGGGAAATAGAAATGATGTGAACATACCATTGGTGAGCAAGAAGAGGAATGAAAGAATTAGATGAACTACTTTAAATGCAGATGTTTATATAGTTAAGACAATTGAGTAAATGTTTGCTTTAAAACCAGGTTTTATTTAAACCTGTGATGCAAATACCTAAAAATAACATAAGCCACCTGTTAGGCGGTAATACTTGCCAATCTGCATAGGAATGGGGCAACATAGGAGCTAAAAAAGTGATCAAGACTAGTCTAATAAATAACACTTAACTTGAAATAAGATTTTTTCAGAACTGAAGGCAGAAGAAAAGGGAACACTTCACAACCAATAGCAGCACCCATAAGTAACTGGGCATTTCTTTATAAGAAATGAACATAGGCCTCTGCTGTTTTAGAGAGTTATATGGTTTCTTAATCATACAATTTCACTTAATTTTTATGAAGTATGTGGCTTAGCACCTGAATGTTATTAACAGTGCTAAAAGCTAACATTTGGTGGGGCCGGCCGAGTGGCTCAGTTGGTTAAAAGCTCGCTCAAGAGTTTGAGCTCTGAGCAACAGCGGTTCGATGCCCGGTCCAAGCTGAGCTGCCGCTAAGCTGCCAATAGGTAGCGGGATGGCTCAGCTAAAAAAAAAAAAGTTCTAACATTTGGGTTCCTACTTCGTTCCATGCTCTGTGCAAAATGCTTTAAAGGCAGTTGCTCAGAACAATCCTATGAGGAAAGTACTATTATTATCATTACAAATGAAGAAACTGAGGCTTAGAATAGATAGTGAATTTATTCAAAGTCACGTAGCTAGCAAGTAGCAGAAGTGAAAGCTGAAAGTAGGACTGACAGGTAAAACTTGTGCTCTCTTAACCTCCAAATTACTCTTTTGCCTCCAAGTTACTCTTTTGTAGACCTGGGGAAAGCATGAGAAAACAGAAAAGGTTGGGTTTTGTTTATTTTTTTATGGTGGCTTCTGCCATAGATCACAATCTCTAGTAGCTCTATACTCGCTGAAGAGAAAAGATACTTAAGACATAGCTAGTTAAAGGCCAGAGCAAAACTTCATAAGTCTAGTCATTCTTGGAAAAGGAAACAACTTTCCATAAGTGTCTAAATTCAGAATTTACCATCAGGGTACAAAAGTTTGTTTGTAAAACAACAAAAGCTTGCAGATTAGGAACAACGAAGAAAACAAACACATTAACCTGTGTAATTAAGAACTTGCAAACTTCATTGTATGATGAACAAATATCAGTCTTGAAAACCTAATTTAATTGCAGTTTGACATGCTGTGCCCTGAAGTTTCCTCTTCTAAGACTGAATATAAAACACAACTATTTTGCTTCTAGTCGATATATTATTTTTCTAAAAGTGCTTATTTTGTAAGTTGCACTGATAGAAAATATCAGAAACATTCTTAGCACAACATTCCCTCTTAAAAGTGTGTAGAACCATGCTGAACTTTGCGTTAAATTCTGGAGACTAAGATGCATAATCTTTTTTGGAAAGACAGTTAAACATATGACTTAGTACTGAGTATCCTTCCATCCAGATCAAGCGATCTTTATAGTAACTAGGCATTAGCTGGTCTTCCAAGGCTTTAAGATATAAGTCCTTCCAGATTTGATTGAGATTTTTTTTTTTAATCTAAAGCATGTTTTTTTAAAATAATCTATTTCTTTTAAAGCCTAATAGACCTAAGTTGTGACACTGTTTGCTAGGTGTATAACCTTGGATAAATAACCCAACTTTTCCCAGCACCTGTATCTTCCTATGTAAAATAGGAATAATAATTTCTACCTTCCATGGAAGTTGTCAAAATTAGAGGTGATACAGATACAATACTTGGCACATAGGAAGTACTCAGTACTAGGTAGCTCTATTAAAATTGTCTTTTCTATGGATTTGTTTAGTTAACCAAACATCCATTAACACATTAAGCAAGTGCCTTCTCTAAATTTACATCTAGTGAAGACCACCAATATTTACATCTAGTAAAGACAAATCGGTGGTGTCACCACAGAATCCCTATGTATGGTCTTCTCCAGTCTCTACACAAATCTTTATTTTTATCCATATTTTTCCAGATAACGTCCTTGTTTTCAATTGGAATCGTTAAAATCAGTTCCTGAAAGCTAAACACCTCACCTAGAAGAAAATGTAAAACAAATAATTAACAGAGGACACAGTCTCATGCATAGTAACTAAGTGGCCAGTCTGCATACTTGTGATAAGTGTCATGAGTGAGAAGGATGGGATGGTATAGGAGCGTATAATAAGGAACCTGACATAATCCTGGAGTTCAAGAATTACAAACTGTTTGAACTAAAACTTGTAGGGTGAAGAGGAGTTAGCTAGGCAAGTCAGAAAACTTCCCAGGCAGAAAGAACTGTACATACAAATGTCTTAAAGCAAAAAGCATGAAGCATTCTAAGAATTGAAAGAAGATAGTGAGATTATAGGGTACAGGGAGAGTTGTTTTAGATGAGGCTAGAAAGATCAGCAGCGGTCAGAACACACAAGATCGCTTAGCCCCTGTTAAAAAGCTTATACTATATCCTAAGAACAGGGAAACTATGAAGGACGTTGGGCAAGCGAACCAGTGGTTAAGCATCCTCTACATGTGAAAATAAGCAGATTGAGCTCTGTATTGCTGTAGCTCTCAACCAGACGCCCTCAAACTATAGCCCTCTACCAGTTTTTATATGTCCTGGATGCTAAAATAATTTTCACATTTTTTAAGAGTTTTTTTAAAAAAGGAAGAAGAATATGGAACAGAGAGAGACCTTATGTGGCTTGTCAAGCCTAAAATTTTACTATCTGGCCTTACTCTATACCATTCTTTTAATTGCTAGGACTCTGCATTGCTCAAAGCTATTTAGGAAGTTTACTTTTGAGAGTAAAGACAGAAAAAGAGGAAACGGTCTTTAATCTCAGCATATTTAGTAACAGTGCACCTGGTAAATAATTATGTGATCTATACCTTTGTATTCTTTCATTTTCAGTCTCACTGACAAACACATGCAACAAGAAAAATGCATGCAAAAAAGACATCTGCAGGCTGTTGCAATTACTGCTGTTTGCCATGGGGGGAGAGGGCATGGAGAGATGTTCATTGCTTCTGCCCGCCAAAATGACAAGAGGAAGTACCAGTAGATTTTAATGTAAAATTAACAGTTCACTCTTCAACAACTCTTCACTTCCCTATTGAGTTTCTATTAAACCCATGAGTCCGAAGAGGACACCATAGGACAAATGTTTTCAAAGCACTATATGCCTGTATTTTAGAATGAAAGAAATATATAAACTCAGATTTGAATTTTTATATCAAAATGCAAATGTGATTTTTATAAATTGGTTTTTAAAAGCCATCCAGTGATAGAGATAGCAAACATATTTGCATTCTGCCTGTAGAAGTGTATGAAGTAATGATGTCAGTCTTTTTTTTTATCAGTGACTACAGGAGCACTTTATTTCTGTAATAACTAGTTGTTCTATGATCATTTTGATCTCGATTTCACAGATTATGTTGATAGTGTATGTGCAATGAGCAAGAAGAATATTTCAGGCAGTTTCATTTAATAGAATTTCCTGATTGATGTTTATATCTCAGCTGGCAATCTACCAGGTCTAGCTGCTGAAACTTCAATCTATTCATGAAGCTATTAGCTAAGTAGGTAGAGTTCTGCTCCATTGACATATGCAGAAAATGTACAGCCAGTTGGACACTTTTCAAAATAAAGGCATTTTAAAATAAGCTTTTACCTCTGTACTTGGAGATTTGGTATGTACTCGTTAGGGACAAAGTTACAGTTTGAAATACTGAAGTTTAAAATGAAATGCACATATGAAAGCACTAACCAAATAAAATATTCATGGGATTTTCACTTAAAATTAGAGATTAACTTAACCAGTTACTTTTTTTCTATAGCTGAATTGTATAAACTGCAGATGATTGTAATCTGATTTTTTTCCTCCCTATAGCTTGTAGAGACTTCATTAAAAGGAGAAATTGCCTTTGATCCCAGAAGCGCCTATTATTTGTGGTTTGTGATGGATTTTTGTGACGGAGGAGATATGAATGAGTATCTGTTGTCCAGGAAACCCAATCGTAAAACTAACACCAGCTTCATGCTTCAGCTGAGCAGTGCCCTGGCTTTCCTGCATAAAAACCAGATCATCCACCGAGATCTTAAGCCTGATAACATCTTGATTTCTCAAAGCAGGTTGGATACCAGTGACTTGGAACCCACATTGAAAGTGGCTGATTTTGGCCTAAGTAAAGTTTGTTCAGCCTCTGGGCAGAACCCAGAAGAACCTGTCAGTGTAAACAAGTGTTTCCTTTCCACAGCCTGTGGAACAGATTTCTACATGGCTCCTGAAGTGTGGGAGGGACATTATACAGCAAAAGCTGACATCTTTGCTCTGGGGATTATCATCTGGGCAATGCTGGAAAGGATCACATTCATAGACACGGAGACAAAGAAGGAACTCTTGGGGAGTTACGTAAAACAAGGAACTGAGATTGTGCCTGTTGGGGAGGCGCTTCTGGAAAATCCCAAAATGGAACTTCTCATTCCTGTGAAGAAAAAGTCTATGAATGGGCGAATGAAACAACTGATTAAGGAAATGCTGGCTGCAAACCCTCAGGATCGTCCAGATGCTTTTGAACTAGAACTCAGATTAGTACAAATTGCATTTAAAGATAACAGCTGGGAAACGTGACATATATTATTTGCAAATATCTTGGATGATATGCTGCTTCTGTTTTAACAGTGATGCAACATAATGTGGCTGAAAAAGAATATAAAAAGCTAAACTCCACCTCCTAAGGGTTTAGATTTTATTGTGGGATTTCTTTTTTCCCCTCATTTTTTTCTTAAGTCCAAGCTGGCCATTTTGTTAGTATGTTTTAAATGTGTATTACCAATGTGGGTGTAAATTTTTTTTAAATCATTGGTAGAAGTTGGACAGAAAAATTCTCTTAAGAGCCAAGAAGAAAGGAGAGTCCAGTTTTCTGGAAATATGTCTCTATGTATTTTAGACATTCCTTGTCAGTATTAGGAATTTCCATGGAAGAAGAGGTTTGCATGCTGGTAATGCAACCTTTGAAGCTTTGTAAAGGAAACATATATGTATATATTTATGTATATGTAAGTATGTGAATGTGTGCATTTTGCATTCCATATGAAGAAAATGCCACTTCTGTTTAAATTATTTGATGTAGGTTTGGGTTTTGAGGTTTGCTGGTGAAATCAGTGATGAAAAATAAAAGAACCTTCCCTCATCTTCCTACCCTGCCCCTCCCTCTAATGAAATCATACTAAGTTTTTTTTAATTTTTGTAATATTATACAGCTTTTTTTAAAGGCATCATTTTGGAGGGTCTAAAACAGTCTAAACATAAATGAAATTAAGTGATCCAAAGCTGCTGAAGTATGTTTGAGCTCTCCAGTGCCCTATAGCTGCAGGAGTAGAACTAGCCATGCAATCATATGGTAGCAGGTTGGCAAGGACATTGGTGGTGATTCAGTTATACCTTCTTTAGGTGGCCAAGCAGTCAATTCAATAAAACCACTGCGTTGGGACATGTCTGCACTTAAGCATCAGCTATCTGACATAAATCTGAACACAGGATTTTTCTGTTTCTGAAAACGTTGCTATACATATGTACTATGGAACTTGATATATTAATTTTTTATTTCAAGACTTTGTCTAAGCCTCAGCATAAAGTTGAAGAAACCAAATGGGCTCTACCCTCACATTGCCTGCCCTAATAGGGTGTCTTGTTTCATCACTGGAATTTCTTTCATTTTGGCACTAACACTGTTTTCTCTTGTTTAATTTGACACAGTAATGATGGTGATATGGTTGTATTAAATGTTGATTACCTTTTTCTAAAGTGGAATATGATATCTATACAGATTGGCATCAACTATATCAAGTAGAAAAGTTATAGATTTTATACAATCACTTGGTATGGTCTATGTCCAACCCAGTAGACCATTATTTTTCTTGAAGTCAGTTTGATTTTAACCCTACATGATCGTTTCCAGTTTGTTTTCCTGTAAATGCAGATAGTTAAAATCTAAGGAAAGAAGGTTTTTCTAAAACAGAGCATTAGAACATTGGCCTTTAAGGTTAAGATAATTGTATCTAGGTTAATCTTTATAAAGCATTAGAATCTTTGGTCAAAAGTTTTAAAAAAAATTAGAATATTGAAATAATTGATAGTTTTGCATAGTCTCCTCAGCTTTTTTGAACTTCTATGACTTTTGGAATATTGTTATCGTATTTTTTCTTAAAATGTGTTCAGGGGACTTTAGAAGGTGAAAAAGCACAAAGAAATTGGAGTACGTAAAATTTCTGAATGATACATTACTTGATCTGGAAGTTTAAAACTTGGACTGAAAGGTTTTATTGAAATAAAGCCTTTTAAAATGAAAAAAAAAACACCCATATACTTTAAACACCGTTTTTGAGATAAATTAGAAGTGCGACAATACACTGGAACCTCGTAATTGACCCTCTGTATCACCAAATTAGTATAACATCTGGCCAAAGGGATTGAGTTACTGGAAGTAAAAAGCATCATTATAATGTCTGTCAACATATTCGTAATGATTCAGGTGATGGTATGCCAGTACTTAATTTGCTCTTCAAATATCTATGTGCTTGGTTTCTTAAGTACATAGTTTTTGTTCCTGCCTCATTTAAAAGAGTTAACGATTATCATTTATTCTGAAAGATTATGCCTGTGAAGTAGAATTCTTTCTTTCTTTCATTGGTGGTAAGGGTGTGAGGTGATCAGGAAGTTTCTTCTGGAATTTTCTCAAGTCTTTGTATTCTAACATAGCCTATAATACCAAGCAAAATGATAGTAAATTCTTTGTCTTTATTTGTTCTTTCAGTCAGGAGGTATTTATTAAGTACCTACTGTGTGCTCAGCACTAAAGATCAGTTGATAAAATGACAATTTAAAAAAAGTGTATAGCCACAGGTCTTTTCCAGCCAGGAGTAAGAAATAAAAGATGATTAGCTATACTTGAAAATTCCTGGATATTTTCTAAAGGAAAATGAAAGCAAGAAATGTGCACAGTGCCTTGCCCATAATAGGTACTCAATAAATAATTTTTCTTCGTAGAGTCTCTTGCCATGGTGTATAGTATTTTATGAAATTTGTCTTAATTGAAAAAAGACCAAATATTTCAAATAAACTTATAGGCAGCTGTGGCCAGTTAAAATATGGGGTTGTACAGTTAGTTCCTAGAATGTTATTTTGCACTAGGTGTCACTTAGAAAGATGGGGTTCCTGTAGATTTTTTGGTGCTAAGGGATACTTTATCATTATGATGAAGTAAGTGTTAAATGTCAGATATAATAGCACACTGAATAGTTCTTTCTGCTGGTCTGTTTTTTCCTCTTTGTTGTTGTTGTTTTTGTAAAATGTTTATCAAACTATTGTAGCAGCTACAAAATAATTCACCAGCATGACAGAATGGTCAAAATATAAGTCATCAGCACTTCAAAAATGAAAGCAACTTTTGAAATTTTCTTTTAAAATTGTCAAATATATTTTATGAAGAATTTATAAAAGGGGGAAATAATTGTAATTTATTGTTCATGACTTTTTTTTTAAAATAAAGTGAGTTTCAACAAAACCCTGAAAATTCCACATTACTGCTTTGGTGGCTCTCTTGAGTAGTTCTATAGTGCTTTACTTCATGAACGTAATAGAGGGTATATAATTTGAAACAATGTCATTTTCAGAGGGAAAGATGATTGAATTATAGTAGTCCCATTCAGCATTTCAAGTTCTCTAAAATTTTAATGCTTACTATCTTGCAGTATTTGTCAGAAAAACCTGATTTGCCTGAAATTAATTGTTTCTTCGTTTACCCTTCTATCTCGTTAAGCTGGTGATGTATCCCAGGCTCAGAATCAAGTAGAGGATGCAGTCTTTCAGCCTATAACTTGAGACCATGGTTTCTTTTCTATAAAGTCATCTCACCCACTTTTTTCTTTCCTTTACAGAAGCGGTTCTCAATCTGTGGGTAACGACCCCTTTGGGGGTCAAACGACGCTTTCACAGGGGTCGCCTAAGACCATCGGAAAATAAAAAGATATATTACAATTCATAACAGTAGCAAAATTACAGTTATAGAGTAGCAACAAAAATAATTTTATGGTTGGGGGTCACCACAACATGAGGAACT